TCCCAACCAATAATTTGGGAGATGTCATCCAATCCAATTTTAAATTAAAAATCACTAGTCTATGGTGTATTAAAAATGTCACCAACTTGGCCCTCCCGGGTGGCACAGCGGGTTAAAGCACAGCACTAAGAAGCTAAAGCCACTTCAGCGTGAGTTTGATCCCAACCCTGGGAGGTCACCACATGGCATGGCAGACCTCTCCTGACCCACCTGCTGCTCCCCTCAGCAGTGTACTTCATCAGTAGGCCTGTTCTGCTCCTCCCTCTGTCTCTGGTGAATCCTCTCACCGTGCCTATACCCCTGTTCTGTATGCATAAAAAAAATAAATCTTTCAAAAAAAATTATCACCGGCCCTCCCTGGTGGCGCAGCGGGTTAAAGCACAGCACTAAGAAGCTAAAGCCACTTCCGCATGCGTTCGATTCCCGCCTGCCCCGGAGGCTACCACATGGCGTGGCAGACCTCTCCTGACCCGCCCGCTGCTCCCCTCAGCAGTGTACTTCGTCGATCTGCCTGTTCTGCTCCCCGCTCTGTCTCTGGTGAATTCTCTCACCCTCCGCATCTCTGGCCTGTACCCCAGTTCTGTACAAATAAATAAATAAATCTTTAAAAAAAAAAATTATCACCAACTTATTTTCAGTCTTGGAAATAAAAAACACATTTGATATCTTTAAGTAAAAATTAAAATCTAGGAGATTAGATAACATTTTAATATATATATTTTAAATTTTTTAATTAAATTTAATATTTCTAAAGAAGAAATAAAGGCTCTTAAAAATTAACGTAGTATTCGGGTGAATCTGGTATAGCAATTGCAAATTTGCAGACGCTTCTGTAACTGAACACCCATAGCTTACTAATTTGAGAGATCATAAGGAATGGGGTATCAGGAAACCAAGGTTAATCTTTATAGGTACAAAGAGTTCTAATATTGGAGAGATACCAAAAATACCAAGCCATTTGATTTCTACTTTTGAGCACTCCCCAACAATGAGGAAGTATGAATCTAGATGCCAGAATAACCTAATTGCATTCAGTCCCACCACCAAAATGCTGAAGGAAAAATAAGAAGCGATTGGACTATTTTCAAACGGGAACTAAGATCTACTGAAACCAGAGGTCATCGCCAGCTCCTTGTTGTAGATAAAATGCAACCTTTGCTTGCATACCCTTACCCCAATGTGGACAAAGTAGAATCCCACACTATTCAATCTCTGAGCAAAAACTGAATTCCATATCTTGCTTTGAAGCTTCAGTAGCCCTTAGACAAAAAAATTTCCATCCTGGCTTTAACCAAATGTGGCTTCTGACTCATTGGTTTCAAGGATTAGCAGGGTCCAAAACATATGGGAGAAAGGCAGAGAAATAATCACTTCTGAAGCACAGCGTTCTAAAACAAAGCAAACCCGAAGGAGGCTGGTGCTACCCAGTAATGACAAGGCCATTTCCTCACTTCCTATAAAGCAACACAGACTGACAAAATAAGGAGGAACTAGCAAAGGTACCATTTAGTGGGGCTCTCCTTACCCACCCATCCCCCATTTTTTTCCTATGTCCAATACTATAGGACTTACCAATTTAGCCTATTTATTGTTTATTGTGTAGCTTCCTTGCTTGTCCTAAGACCAAGGCTCCCTGGTGAGTTTTTAACTGATAACCCTGGTGCCTGGAGCAGTTCTGGGACACAGATGTTGCTTCCCAGATATTTGCTAAATGAATGGTCAAACAATACTATTCTTTACTGTCCTTGGATCATATAGTTCAAAACATAAGAAAAGGATTTTAGTCATTTCCTTTTTACCTAAAAATAAGTCTTAGGCTTTTCCCCCAAAATCCTTAATCCAAAAAATATTTTAAAGACAATGGATATAAACCAGTTTGAAAAGGTGCCATGTGTGGGTTAACTGATTTCAGCTTTACTTGCTGGTTTTTTTTTTTTAAGATTTATTTATTTATTTATGCATATAGAACTGGGGTACAGGCCAGAGGTACAGGGGCACTGAGAGGATTCACCAGAGACAGAGTGGGGAGCAGAGCAGGCTGACTGACCAAGTACACTGCAGAGGGGAGCAGCAGGCGGGTCAGGAGAGGTCTGCTGTGCCATGTAGGTCACCTCTGGGGCAGAGATCAAACTCATGCTGAAGTGGCTTTAGCTTCTTAGTGCTGTGCTTTAACCCACTGCACCACCAGGGAGGGCCCCTTGCTGTTTTTGTTTTTTTTTTTTTAAGTATGCTTTGTAAACATACCTTTCTGAATGATTCTATTTCTTAAATGATTCATTTTTCCTTATCCCCTTGATTTAAGCATAGCTCATGAATTAAGCCATTCGATTCCCATCACAAGTCAGGGTACTAAATCCACATTTGTCTGGTGATCACTGTACTGGTCATGTCATAAATGCTAACTGTCCACCCACACAAAGTCACTGAAGCCAAAACAATGGGAAACAGGTAGGTTTTCAAGCCTTCCCCTTCACCATGCTGAGATGCCAGTGCCCTTCCTGGATGGCTCTCAGGCCATCCACAGTTTAAAAGTGAGGGTGATTCAAGCACATATAGGAAAGAATCAGGAACATAAACAGAGGAAGGGCCATCCATTCCTGGGCCCATGAATGAAAGCCCAGAGTAGCTCAATTTTACCAAATGTTTGCGTTTTCATGAGAAATTTTTAATATTTGTCATTTGAAATATTCTGATTGGCGTTTGAACACACATGTAGGAAGGATGGGACCTCCATATGCAATCTCTCCTTGAAAGCTTCATTTCAGAGGGGCCTCCCTGGTGGCCAACGGGTTAAGTCTCAGCGTTATCACCTCTACAACCTGAGTTCAATCCCCAGCCAGGGAGCTGACCCACATATAGTTCAGCAGACCTCTCCCGTCTCACCCACTGCTCCCCTCAGCAGTGTCTTTCTGCTTTCCACTCTATCTCTCTTGAATCCTGTCACTCCTGGCACCTCTGGCCTATACCCCAGTTCTCCTCTATGTAAATAAATCTTTAAAATTACAGTCTTGGGACCTCCCTAATGCACTTCGAAGCTATCCGAAGCCACTACAGCACAAGTTCAATCCCCGGCCAGGGAGCAGACCCATATGGCGCAGCAGACCTCTCCTGTCTCGCCCACTGCTCCCCTCAGCAGTGGATCAGTAGATCTCTCTGTTCTGCTCCCCACTTGGTCTCAGATGAACCCTCCCCACCCCACACCTCTTGCCTGTACCGCAGCTCCTGTATGCATAAATAAATAAATCTTTAAAGAAAACAAAGCCTCATTTCAAAGATCACTGAGCTGGGAGGATCCCTCTGCCATCAATGGGTGGGACCTTTCTGGACAATGCCACATCTCTAGTTCCTTCCAGGTGTCCCTCTTCTCTGCAGAAGCATCTTGTTCATCTTTATATTCCTATCATCTAGTGGAAAACCTGGTGTATAGTAGGGTCCCAAAAAATATTTGAATAAATAAAAATGTGAATAAGATCTATCACAGAGATTCACATCTCTATATAACTACTGAGAACTCTCTGAACTGTCTTGATACCTTAGAATGAAAATTCACATGCATTGCTACCAAGCATCAAATGAAAAAAGACAAACCCACTCCTAGAAATCTATCTGGTTCTCTTTATTATGGAGAATAAGACACTTTCCATATATTATGACTATAGCAGAAAAGGGCCTGTGACACATCAAAACAGTTGTGTATTGTGTACTTTGTTGGAGATGGAGATGAGCAATAGAAGGAAAATTCAGTAAATCACTACTTAATTTCTCCATCATTCAAAAAACCCAATCAGCTTCTTATAGGGTACTTAACTAAGGTGAGTTTAAAAATGTCTCTATTTTGTAAAATAAACAACCCCATCAAAAAATGGGCAGTAGAGCTAAAAAGACACTTCTCCAAAGAGGAAATGCAGATGGCCAACAGGCATATGAAAAAATGTTCAACATCACTCGTAATAAGGGAGATGCAAATTAAAACCACAATGAGATACCACCTCACCCCAGTGAGAATGGCACATCTTCAAACAACTAGCAACAACAAATGTTGGCGAGGATGTGGAGAAAAAGGAAGTCTCCTGCACTGCTGGTGGGAATGCAAACTAGTACAACCACTATGGAAAACTGTTTGGAGGTTCCTCAAACTGCTAAACATGGAGCTTCCCTACGACCCAGCAATCCCACTCCTAGGTATCTACCCAAAAGACACAAAAACACTGATTGAAAAAGATACTTGTACCCCCATGTTTATTGCTGCTTTATTTACAATTGGAAAAACATGGAAGCAGCCCAAATGCCCAAAAGTAGATGACTGGATTAGAAAGATGTGGTACATATATACAATGGAATATTACTCAGCAACCAAAAAAGAGAAACACATGTCTTTTGCAGCAACTTGGATGGAGCTGGAAAAGATCATGCTTAGTGAGATAAGCCAGAAAGAGAAAGAAAAATACCGGATGGTTTCACTCATAGCAGGAGTATAATGGACCAGGCGAGAAAATAACAAAAATAATGAACAACCATAGACCAGAGACATTCTGTGGGGGTGGAGTGGGGAATGGGATCAAAAACGGGGGGGAGGAGGGGGGAAGGGAGGGAAATGCATGGGACTATGGTGGTGGCACAGGGGTGATTTGGTGATGAGTAACCCGCGGGGATTACAATCGAGATGGAAAAAAAAATGTGCAAAATGATGTAAAAATGAACTTTGTAATAAAAAAATTAAAAAAATAATGTCTCTATTTTGTTCCTTAGCTAGAATGTGAAAAGACTCTACTTATAAAGCCAATAATTAAATTTTACACACATGCACACACATTGTACTTTGTTTCACAGTGGCTAAATAATGGATTTATGATTGAAGATATTATTAAACACCCAAATGTGGACTTGTTTTCAAAGCAGGATCCTTCTGTAGGCTCTCTGTAAGCAACAGCAATGCACCCTGTACTTTCACAATTCTTCCCTCTGCCTTTGTTCATAATGAAAGCATCAAGGAAACTTACGGCTGTGCAGAAGATACACTGGCACTCCTGCAGTGTGGTCATCTTGTCCAGAGACTGTTCGCACAGGCAGAGTTTGCAAGTGACGAGGGGGGCCAAAGCCAGGTCTCCAGGTGTTGGATTTTCAGTGGTCATGGTGAGACAGTGGAGCCTGTCAACTGAGCCCATCAGCCTCTCTCCAGTTTTCTTCTGTCTCCTCAATCCCTACAGAAAGGTCCAAAGAACAAAATATTGTATCTATTGATAGAGTTATGGTCACCAACAAGGTTCAGTTCCAGGAAAGCAAATCCTCACCCTCTCTGACTTCTCAGCATGCAGCAAATGTATTCCTGAAAGCAATAGCTAAAGACAAGGTATCTCTGGAGTCCTAAAATTAGGTATCTCTGGAGTCCTAAAATTTTAAGGTGATTCACTGTTGTTACTCCCAGGATATAAACTATGGAAATCAGAAGACTACTATGAATAAACATGCCATTTCAGAGACAAAGCACTGTAAAAGGTTCAGTGGACACAAAAATCATGTAAAAGGTAAAGAATTACCAATTCAGCAGACTCTACTTCTAAGTATATATCCAAAACAATTAAATGGACAATCCAATGTCCATTAACAGATAAATGTTCAGACAAAAAGCATTTTACACTCATAAGGGAATAATATACAGCCTTTAAAAAGGCATGAAATGTTGACACTTCTGCATGAGTGAACCTTGAAGACCTTCTACTAAGTCAAATAAACCAAACACAAAGGGCAAATACTGTATGATTCCATTTACATGAGGTAGCTAGAGCTGTCAAATTCACAGAGACAGAAAATAGAACAGTGGTTACCAGTGACTAGAAGGAGGAAGAAAGTGATTATTTGATGAGTAAGGAGTTTCTTCTTAGGATGTAAATGTTCTGGAAATAGTTTTGGATAATGTGGTGGTAGTACAACATTGCAAGTTTACTACACCACTGAATTGGCATGCTTAAAATAGTTGAAAAGCTCAATTTTGTGTTATGTGTATTTTGCCACAACTAAAAAACTATTTCAATAGTATAAAGGTACATTGTATTTCTTTACATACATTACTTCATTTACTCTTTTGCTACCATAATGATTATTTTCTTCACCTTAGAAATGAATTAAAGTCTTAAGTAGTTAAGTAGCCAGCTAGTGTTCTCAGAGTTTGTCCATAGAGGAGCAAAACTCAAACTCTCCATCTTCTGAGGCTAAGTCCAGGATCTGGTCCATTATAGTAGCATTGTCTCACAGTGGCTATTTATGTGGTATGGTCAGGCAGGGAGAGTGAGGAGGAAGATAAAGGGAGAGAGAAAACATGAAACCCATGACAAGAGCTGTCCTTAAGATCACTGAAGTTGTACAGGAATAAAATTTGTTTCCACACATAGTATGACTACAGAAAAAGTGTGTGTGTGTGTGTGTATGCATGTGTGTAGAAGAGCTGGGGTGTAGGCCAGAGATGTGGAAGGTGAGAGGATTCACCAGAGACAGAGTGGGGAGCAGCAGGCAAGACAGGAAAGGTCTGCTGGGCCATGCGTGAGCTAGTTCCCTGGCCAGGGATCAAATTCACCTGCAGGGATGATAGAGACTCAGCTGCTCGACCTCCAGGGAGGCCCCTAGGAAAGGGGATTTCTATACTGAAAATAAAAATTCTAACAGAAGCCATTCCATTAGATCATATTCAGAGTATTTAAAGAGACAAATAATTGTGAAAATCATCTTCTGTGTATTCACATTTTATGGCATATAAGTTGCCTCATATTCTGATTAAATAAGAGCAAACTCTTAAAGATCATTACTGTTTTAATAAATTCTCCCACAGAAATAATTGCAGATAGTCTCTCACCCCACAAGAGCCATTCCATCCCTTGTTTCAGTGTTATCGTGTCTCTTGTCACATATGTAAGCTCCTATCTCTTCATTTGAGCCTATAAGCTAAGAAATCAAAGTTATAAAAAATATGAAGCTATCTATCCCCTCCAAAAGTTTCCTCCTTCCTTCTTTATTTAGCATGATTTTGTGTCTGTGATAAGAACACAGCATAAGATCTACCCACTTCACTACGTTAAACTAGAGGTATTACGCTCCTCCACAAATGTGTACTGCTAAAAAAAAAAAAAAAAATGCTGCGTCCTCCCTGGTAGGCTAGGGGTTAAGTCTCAGAGCTATCATCCCTAAAGCCCAAGTTTGAGCCCTGGCCAGGAAAGTGACCCACATGGCACAGCAGATGTCTCTTGACCTGCAGGCTGCTCCCCTCAGCAGTGTATTTCAGTCAACCTGCCTGTTTTGCTCCCACTGTCCCTGATGAATTCTCTCACCTCCTCCCCTCTGGCCTTCTCCTCAGTTTTTCTATGCAAAAATAAATAATTATTTTTAATTCTACTGCACACATTTTAAAGACCTTCCTATTTTCATTCAATGGTTCATGCATAAGGTAGTGTCCCACCTAGCAGAGAGAAAAGAGTCTGAGAAGCTGTACAAAACACAAGACTTTTGTATGTAGAACAAGAAAGGTAAATTAGAAAAGTAAAATAAATTCTTATGAAAACGTTTTATGCCATCAAAAAAAATTTATAACACAGAGGCCTAACTTGTTAAAAGAAAAACATTTTCTTTTAGCATTGAGTCTCACAAAAATCACATATTTCATCTCCTTTGACATGAACATCCAAAACAATGCTTCAAAAAGAAGTGATATGTTTTTTGGTGTACAAAACTATTCCACAACATTTTTTAAGCACTGGAAGTTTATAAAAACAAAATCTTAACTGCCACCACACAAAAAAAATAAGGTGGGAGACCCAGTGTAGGTCCCGTAGACCTCCCAGACACCATCACAGAAGCCAATAGCTTCATGTTGCAGTTTGGAAAGCAGCCCCTTGGTGTTTCACTCTGAGAAAAAATCAATAGTGAGCATTTTCAAAGTGAATGGCCCAAGTGAACACTTCATTCAAAAAGAATATCAAACAAGAAAGCCTTTCATCACTGACTTGTTAGAAATGAAGTCGCTCAATGCCATCTGCAACAACATGGATAGAGTTGGAAGCCATGATGCTCAGTGAAATAAGCCAGAAGTAAGGGCCTCCCATGGTAAGTCTCAGCATTATCTCTGCTAGAGCCTGAGTTCAATCCCCAGCCAGGGAGGTGACCCACATGGCACAACAGACCTCTCCTGTCTTGCCTGCTGCTCCCCTCAGCAGTGTATCTCAGTAAATCTACCTGTTCTGCTCCCCACTCTGTCTCTGGTGAAGCCTTTCACCCCACCCTCAGCCTCTGGCCAGACCCCTAGTTCTTGTATGCATAAATAAATAAAGAAAGAAATCTCCAAAAATGTAAGTCAGAAGGAAAAAGAAAAATATTGAATTGTCTCCTTTATAGGGAGAATATAAGAAAACCAAACAAAGGATCAGGGAAAGAGACAGAACTTGCAAGTTGACCATAAGCTTGAGGAATGCAGCAAGGGAAAGGAAGAGAGAGGGGTCAAAACAAAGGAGGGAAGAGCACAGGGAACCTTGGTGATGTTCACGGGTGCCATAGTGTGGGAGAACTCCAGGGACTACATTGGAGGGGGATAAAGTTGGAAGAAAAAAAAATTTTATTAAATAAAACTTAAATAATAATAATAATAAATGAAGAGACCCAGGGAAATCTCAGGATCCTCACCTGAGATGCTGAGGTCTATCACCAGTGCCCAATATTCCTCTTTAGTCTTATTAAGATGCACCAGTCTCTACACTGTGAAACCACCAGAGCAGAAACTCACGTCCTGTCCAAACAACTGGCATATGGCGTAAAGCTAAGAGGGGGTGCCACACTGGGAAGCCAAACTACGGCATTTCCTCCTGGCCCTTCCATGGGACCACACCTTTCATAGGTACCCCAGCAATTCACACCCACCTGTTCCAGGTTGGAAGAAAACCCTTCCAGAGAACTGGCAACTTACTGGCTTACTCAACTTGTTTTGCCTCATACCTCACATTTTACCTAAAATAAGAAAGTGACTTCAATGTTCCACCCTCCTGCTTGATTTAAAACAGTAACAATTATAATTACTTTTACGGTTATTACAAATATGACCACACTTCTTATTGGGTATGAAGATCCCAAGGGAGAAGAATTTTGGCAGACAGTGCCATAGGCATGTTGGAAAGAGAAAAACTGGAATACTTGCCTTCAGGTTCAAACGTTGTAAAGTTACTACAAAGCTGGGGATGGGGAAGCAGCAGATTTCATCCCAATTGTGATGCACCCTCCTGTTAAACAGGACTGACCATGGCTCTCCCTGGTGGCCCAACAGGTTAAGTCTCAGCACTATGAAGCTATCACAGCCACTGCAGCACAAGTTCAATCCCCGGCCAGGGATCTGACCACATGGCGCAGCAGACCAGACGTCTCCTGTCTTACCCACTGCTCCCCTCAGCAGTGTGTTTCAGTACATCTGCCTGTTCTGCTCCCCAGTCTGTCTCTGGTGAATCCTCTTACCCCTATATCTCTGGCCTGTCCCCAAATTCTGTACACATAAATAAATAAATCTTTAAAAAATAATAATAATAAGACTGACATTCAGGACAGATTGGCTAGGACATGCAGAAAAAGACAACCATCCCACAACAACTGATGTTGTATTAAATCACCAGGAATCAGCAGACCCACCTCTCTCTGAGTCTCTCTGGGGCTATAAAGTGTTCGTTAAAGGAGAAGCAAGTACTATCTGATAGGAAAGAACAGAAAGTCACTGTTTCCCTCATGTGTTTTCATTAACATTGCCAAAGAAAGAAGCCGTACTGGAAGCACCGGATGTATAAGGAATTTTCATCTTCTGTTGGCGGCCTGAAAAAGCAATCTGCTCCCCAAAATGCAGAGAATAGGAGAGCCAACGTTCAGAGTATTTTTAACTGACGCAGTTGATGCCTCTTCCACTATAAGACCACAACAGTTATTCTACTGTATGAAAAGATAAGGGGATTGGAATGGGTACTGCTTTACTAGGATACTTCTACAGTTACCCTATTTGTCGGGAATTTTTATACTCATCTGTGAAAGCCTTTAAATGTGGGTACAGAGATAAGGCATAGTTAAAGAAGCTAAAAGAAACTGAAAGCTATCAAAATCAATCAACTGGATTTTACTGTTGCTAGAGAATACTGATGGACCTAAAATTCCAATTGATCTGTGTTGAGGTCTTCAATCCAGGCTATAT